GGGCCCCCCCCCCCCCCCCCCGATCATTTGTATTGGGCTATTATTGTTCCACCCCCCTGTGGTTTTCGGGGTCCCCTGCGCTTCTGGGGCAGAGAGGGTGTCAGGATTGAGAATGGGAGCAGACTGAGGAATGTGGGGGACTGTACACATGTGTTCTGTCGAGATCTCCGACTGGTGACATCATGTCCGGTGACTTGCCAGTAGGAGATTTAGACCAGATGGCGTTGGTGCGTGTGCGCCATACGTGCCGCTGTCAGAATCCTCATCGAGTTCACTTGTACTAGGCTATCATTGGTCCATACCCACCATGGTTTGAGGCTGGTGTATCCACTGTCGGCCATAACCCAGTGCAGGTCAGCCAGCGGTCACGGTCCAAACAGAACCGCCACTTGGTCCACGGTCCGGCATTTAGGGACCCTTATTCTAGAGCTTTAACCCTTTGTTAGGACAGACAGTCCTGTTCAGACAGTCCCCCCTCCCCCAGACAGTGAGAACTAAGCATGATTTTTCAGTCCTGGAACTTGCAGAAAGCACTTCTAAAAAAAGTTAAGCTGCCATTTGTATTTAATTTTTTATATATAATGTGAAACGTGACAAATGTAATGTAGGTGTTTATCCCATTTTAGCTGCAATTTGTGGTTGTGAGTACAACCTCCCGTAAAACTCAGGGCCTGTAGGTGTGTGTCACGTCAGATTCCTTTTGTTTAGGAATTTATGGTCTTTGTTTGTCTTTGGTATCCATTGTTGACCTCTGATCTGAGTATATGACCACGGTACTTTTATTGTAAGTGTTTTATCACGGCAGCATCGTTCGACTGCAAAGCCGAATGTCCCGTTGTAGAGGCCGTGTGCAATCTGTAATTGAGGAACTATCGGAGGGGCCGGAATGGATCTCCGTAGACCCGCTGAGTTGCGATTTAAAGCGCGCTGTAAACACGAGTCAAAAGCAGAAAAAGAAATCTCATTAACACGAGCCCTGAAACTGTGTTTACCTATAGAAAAGCATTGCGGCGCGTACACGCAGCGCCAGGATGAATCCACGCTCTGTGAACGATCCAACCATAGAGATTACATGGAACACACAATATTTTACTGAGCGTTGAACTTCAAGCTATGAAACGTTTGGGTGTGAGTCAAGGCCTAAAGGGGATGCAGATGAACTATAATCTACTAAAACCTTCATCATTGCTGTTATCGGGGACCCATGTGTGTAATTCTTCTGGTTCCTCACCCACCGTCATTGTTTGTCTCTGTTTTTGGGGACCCATGAGTGTAATGCTTCTGTTTCCTGGCCCACCATCATTGATCGTCTCCATTTTTGGGTACCCATGAGCATAATGCTTCTGGTTCCTCGCTCACCGTCATTGTTTGCGTCCGTTTTTGGGTACCCATGAGTGTAATGCTTCTGGTTCCTTTCCCACCGTCATTGTTTGTCTCCGTTTTTGGGGACCCATGAGTGTAATGCTTCTGGTTCCTGGCCCAACGTCATTGTTTGTCTCCGTTTTTGTGGACCCATGAGCGTAATGCTTCTGGTTCCTCGCTCACCGTCATTGTTTGCTTCTGTTTTTGGGGACCCATGAGTGTAATGCTTCTGGCTCCTCGCCCATCGTCATTGTTCATCTCTGTTTTGGGGACCCATGAGTGTAATTCTTCTGGTTCCTTGCCCACCATTGTTGTTGTTAATCTCTGTTTTTGGGACCCATGAGTGTAATTCTTCTGAATCCTCACCCATCGTCCTTGTTTGTCTCCATTTTTGGGGACCCATGAGTGTAATTCTTCCGGTTCCTGGCCTGTCATCATTGTTTGTCTCCATTCCTGTTCACCTTTCCACCCCGACCTGTCTGTACGGATCTCCATCCAGCCGTCACCTTCCTTCCCCCTCGGTTTAATCATCACATTTTGTTTCTATAACTTCTCTCCCTCCTCTCGCACTTCCAGGTCTTTTCTCCTCCCTTTTGTTTTTTATCTCAGCCGGCTCTCCCTCCACCCCCCTGTCAGCGAGAGACCTGTAACCAGCTGATAAGAGGGCAGGCAGGCTGTTTCTCTTTGCCTAGTCCTCTCTCTCTGACGCTTCCCTCTCTCCCGGTAGTACATCTGTCTGTCCGTGTCTTGTCTTGCCTCCTCCTGTCTCACATGCTTGCTCTGCTACTCCTCGATTGCTCAGTCTGCCCTGCAGCCTCTTCATAGACGGGCTGATTATCCTCCCTTCTTCCTCACCTCTCCCTAGTACTTATGATGATCTTTCGCTCCTCGTCCTACCTTGGTCGCTTATCCCTTCTCTGTAGACCTCTTCCACCCCAGACCAGAGCCAGTCATGTCTGTCCTCTGCTCTCCCCTTTGTAGGCCCTCCTTACTGTCCTCTTGACTTGCCTAGTTCCTCGGTTCCTTTTCCCTCTTTTTCTACATTTACTGCCATCCGTCTCCTCTGCCACCCCTCAAGCTGAATGTGACGGCCTCACCACCAGCCCCATCTTGAACCTCGGCCTCGGGATGTCGGCCCTACAGAAGTTGGAGAACTTTGCTTCGCGGGTCTTCAGCCGTGGCCCCCGTAGTCCAGCTCCGGGGAGGGAGCCGGGGCCTCCTGCCAGTCCTCCAGCGCCCAGCCTGCCCAGCAACGTGCTAAGCTGGGATCGGGAGAGTGAGTGTGCGCCATGCTATGCGGGGTAGGGACCCTTGACTAACCACGCAGTGCCCTTCATTACTGCAGTCTGTTTTGTTTTAGTCAGGGGAGGGTGAGATGCTCTGCAGAGGGAAGTCCTACTTATTGTGCAGTGCTCTGTAAGGAATGTTGTGTGTTGATGATGACTCTGACTCTGAAATATTCTGACTTCTGCATACAAAGTGTGCCCTCGCGTACTGGGCAATTTTTGGACAGTCTGCAAGGTTTTTGGGTTGTACTTGTGCCGCTTCTACTTTTGAACATTGTCCTGGCATACACACAGCTCCGCGATACTCTGCATGCTTCTGTTATCTCGCCCTCTTCATGTTTAGTTTAAATAATCCCTAAATAACTTTGGGCTTGTGCAATTCCTTGCAGCGAGCAGTCGTGCTCGCTGGTGCTGTTCAGTTTAATCTGTCATTGCGGTTTCCTGTGGGTTTTTATCGCCGGGCTCCATGGCTCTGCATGACATGTGTCAGCCCGAGCCTTGACTGCGAGCAATGAACCCACCGGATCAGAATGACACGGGTTTTGAGCATTGGGTGGCATCGGCGTTGAGGGGCTCATTCTCACCATCTCTGTATAACATGCACAGTGGTATGTGGTGACCATTGGGTGACCTCGGCATTGAGGGGCTCATTCTCACCATCTCTGTATAACTGGCACAGTGGTATGTGGTGACCATTGGGTGACCTCGACGTAAGGGGATCATTCTCACCATCTCTGTATAACATGCACATTGGTGTGTGGTGACCATTGGGTGACCTCGGGGTTGAGGGGCTCATTCTCACCATCTCTGTATAACATGCACCCTGGTGTGTGGTGACCATTGGGTGACCTCGACGTAAGGGGCTCATTCTCACCATCTCTGTATAACATGCACAGTGGTATGTGGTGACCATTGGGTGACCTCGGCATTGAGGGGCTCATTCTCACCATCTCTGTATAACAGGCACACTGGTATGTGGTGACCATTGGGTGACCTCGGCATTGAGGGGCTCATTCTCACCATCTCTGTATAACAGGCACACTGGTATGTGGTGACCATTGGGTGACCTCGGCATTGAGGGGCTCATTCTCACCATCTCTGTAAAACATGCACAGTGGTATGTGGTGACCATTGGGTGACCTCGGCATTGAGGGGCTCATTCTCACCATCTCTGTATAACATGCGGTGTGAAGGGTGGCACTTTTTTTTTCCAACTTTATTTAAATGTCACAAAATGACAGTTCATTGACCTTTGCACCACAGTGCATTGTGACGTGATGTGTTGCACTGTGTAAAAATCCAGACATGCCGCTACTTTATGCAGCCACCTCAACGCAGGACATAAGGGATAACTGTTGCCCTTGTGTTGAGCCTACGTTGATCAATACAGATCATAGCAGATCATGCTCCTACACAGTTCCCTCCAGCCGGTCTCCTCCTCCTCTGCAGCAATGGTATATCTCTCTGTGTCCTCACATTCTATACACTGTCTAGAAGACACCTTTTAGGCGTCTTTGTTGTTATTTTAAAGATCTGGGTAAATGTCCTCTTTAACGTTGCTGAGCAGTGGGGTAGTTATTTTTCATTGCATTTGCTGATAACCGGTTTGCTGCAAAGAGAACCTGTTTTAATGGCACCACGGGAGCTGTCAGTGCTGATTCGTCCTTTGCGAGGCCCCCCCTTGGCCCTCAGCGCTCCGACCTCCGAGCTGAATGCTTGAAATCCCACCAGAATGCTTTCTTGCAATGGGCTGTTGTGCGTTCTCAGGGAATTTCCTACTATGGAGTGACATCACTGCTCATTCTGTAGTGAATTTGCACAGCAGCGTTGTCACCTTTTTCAGACCGCGTTGTCTTAGATGGGTTTTACGAAAAAGGTGACATTTTTTTTTTAAAGCTGAGCTCTGGGATTTAAGAAAAATAAATACTCTTGCAGTGGGTTTTTTTTTCTACAAGACAAGGGTTGAATGCACCTTAAAGGAGAACTATGGGGTTAAGTCTTTTCCCCATAGTTCTCCTTAGGGTAACGGGAGGACACAAACTAGAGCTAGGTGAAGTCCTCCTCAGCCCTCTCCTAGCGCAGCAGTGTCAGTTCTCCCGCCACGCCGCCAGATGTCGCTGCAGCACCCGTGTCATCCCTAAAATTATACCGTTGGGGTTCACCACAACTTGGCAAATGTTACCAAGGGGTCCCGGCCCTAGAGAGGTTGAGAACTACTGCATTACCCCATAGTTATCCTTAGGGTGATGGGAGGACACAAACTAGCGTCCTCCCGTCAACCTAGGCTCAGTATACCGCGAGCTGCAATGGTCTCTCTGCAGAGGTCTGACAAGTAACCTGCTGAGCTAGAGCTCTCCAATGAAAAGGGAGCATGAAGGTTACTGACCACCAAGCTTTTATTTCTGACTCCGCAGGGAAGTGTGTGACCTCTGCATAGCCCTGCTTCCACACACACAGCAATAGTACTTATCTGCAGCATGCTGGCAGGGGGCAGGCCTTTCTACTCGGCTGTGGCTGCTTTAGAAATGAAAACCGACTATAAGACTTTGAACACCTTTTTTATTTTGATGCTCCTGGAATGTAGTCGGCTGATTTAAAGGAGAACTATGAGGTGAGTGCTTTTCACTCATCTCATAGTTCTAGCCGACCTGTGACAATGAGACTGTCACAGGTCGGCTCAGTAGATCGGGAGGTGAGCGAACACATACCGGCGTTCGCTCACCTCTCGATCCTGTCACGGCTCTCTGCCCTGACAGGGGAGGGGCTGGATTTCCCCCTCCCCGGTCCGATCCTCCAGCGCTGACTGGCGGAACTGACGGGGGAGGGGGTGGGTACAGCTGGCTCTGCCTTTAGATAGGCAGAGCCAGCTGTCAGTCACGCAGCTGGGCGGATCCCGGCATAATTGTCGGGATCCACTTCAGCTGTGGCGTCTCAGTATATAGAGAGCTGTAACTCGCGGTATACTGAGCTTAGGGTGACGGGAGGATGCTAGTTTGTGTCCTCCCGTTACCCTAAGGAGAACTATGGGGAAAAGACTTAACCCCATAGTTCTCCTTTTAAACTAAGAGATTTTTGTTTTTGCACCTCGGTCAGAAATTTGTATGGAAGAAATCCAGAGACTGCCAATGATTCTGAATGACACTCGAGATAAAAACAAAATATATGACCACGATACTGTTATGACCAAGGCCTAAAATATATGATGGCCCCATAATGTCCGTGCCATGCGCCTATCATTATAATAGATAATGATGGATCCCATTTCTATGAAATTGGTACATGTTCCCTAGTAATCTATAAACCCCTCACGCCCTCACCACAGCTGACAAAACCGGTTTGTCTCCGCGCTGCCGACAGGAGTGGCCTCCGGTAATGTGGAACAATTGCTTAATGATCTTCGTGTCTGACGGCGCTGATCTTCTAGTGTGGGGACATGTCAAGTCTATCCGAGCCGGAACCCCGAGATCCTCCATCCAGTGTATGGCCATCAGAGCGCGCAGCCTGTGTCACCTTGCAGGACCTTGTGGAAGCGACGTTGTGCGCGTTATCTTCCTTATCTCTGTTTGGTTGTGCACAGACGCTGGAACACGGCAGCTCCCGCTCGCTCACTCACTCGGGAGGTGGATAAGGAGCCCCGTTCTCTGTACTGCTGAGGGAAAAACTGGTTTACTTTGCAGGAGATTGTGCTTCGTGTTTGCCCTTCTGCGTCCTTACACTGCAGATGGTGAAAGGTCTGAGGGAAAAAGCATATCCGGAGAGATTGCAGGAACACAATATGTACAGTCTGTGGGAAAGGGGGACATGTATGAAACCTTGAATTGCATGAAGGGTGCGAATAAGGTTCAGGGGGGTAGAATTTCCAATATGCAGGAGGAAGGAGGTCCTGATCCCTCTATATAGATCTTTATTATCACTAGAGGGATCTCCAGCAGGAGGAAGGAGGTCCTGATCCCTCTCTATAGATCTTTATTATCACTAGAGGGATCTCCAGCAGGAGGAAGGAGGTCCTGATCCCTCTCTATAGATCTTTATTATCACTAGAGGGATCTCCAGCAGGAGGAAGGAGGTCCTGATCCCTCTCTATAGATCTTTATTATCACTAGAGGGATCTCCAGCAGGAGGAAGGAGGTCCTGATCCCTCTCTATAGATCTTTATTATCACTAGAGGGATCTCCAGCAGGAGGAAGGAGGTCCTGATCCCTCTCTATAGATCTTTATTATCACTAGAGGGATCTCCAGCAGGAGGAAGGAGGTCCTGATCCCTCTCTATAGATCTTTATTATCACTAGAGGGATCTCCAGCAGGAGGAAGGAGGTCCTGATCCCTCTCTATAGATCTTTATTATCACTAGAGGGATCTCCAGCAGGAGGAAGGAGGTCCTGATCCCTCTCTATAGATCTTTATTATCACTAGAGGGATCTCCAGCAGGAGGAAGGAGGTCCTGATCCCTCTCTATAGATCTTTATTATCACTAGAGGGATCTCCAGCAGGAGGAAGGAGGTCCTGATCCCTCTCTATAGATCTTTATTATCACTAGAGGGATCTCCAGCAGGAGGAAGGAGGTCCTGATCCCTCTCTATAGATCTTTATTATCACTAGAGGGATCTCCAGCAGGAGGAAGGAGGTCCTGATCCCTCTCTATAGATCTTTATTATCACTAGAGGGATCTCCAGCAGGAGGAAGGAGGTCCTGATCCCTCTCTATAGATCTTTATTATCACTAGAGGGATCTCCAGCAGGAGGAAGGAGGTCCTGATCCCTCTCTATAGATCTTTATTATCACTAGAGGGATCTCCAGCAGGAGGAAGGAGGTCCTGATCCCTCTCTATAGATCTTTATTATCACTAGAGGGATCTCCAGCAGGAGGAAGGAGGTCCTGATCCCTCTCTATAGATCTTTATTATCACTAGAGGGATCTCCAGCAGGAGGAAGGAGGTCCTGATCCCTCTCTATAGATCTTTATTATCACTAGAGGGATCTCCAGCAGGAGG